CAAAATGAGAAAGCCTAGGGAGTGACTTTACCAGCTTTCAATTATGATTCAATTACATCAAATTTTTCCATATTTATAAGTAAGAATCCAATTGTATTTCTCTCCCCTAAACCCTAGACATGCTATATCAAAATATGTGATAATAAGCCGAAATAAAGATGTTCATATCATAAATATTGAATTTGAAAGTAATAAAAAAATATTTATTAAAGGCTTGCCAAAATTGAACTTTAAAAAAGACAAATTTGTGATGCATGTCAATTTGAAAAATAAGTAAAGAGTTCCTTTAAATTAAAACAATATTCTTCAACGACACGACCCTTACAACTTCTCTACATGAATCTTTTTGGACTATCTAGAACCATTAGCTTAAGTGGTAAATATTATGCATTTGTCATTGTCGACGATTATTCTAAATTCACTTAGGTCCTATTTTTGAACCTAAAAAATGTAATTTTGAATATATTCAAACATTTTTGTAAAAAAGTTCAAAATGAGAAGGGTTATACTATTACAACTATTAGAAGTGATCATGGTGAAAAATTTGACAACATCGTATTTTTGCAATGAAAATGGATATGAACACAATTTATTGACTCCTAGAACTCCTCAATAAAATAATATAGTAGAAAGAAAGAATCTTACATAACAAGAAATTACTAGGGCTATACTAAATGAAAATAGTTTCCCAAAATCTTTTTGGGCCGAAGTTATTAACATCGCTTGTTATATTGTTAATAGAATTTTAGTTAGTCGAAAAAAAAAAGTCAAAACTCCTTATAAGCTTTGAAAATAGAGTTTCCAATATCAATTATTTCAAAAAATTTGGGCATTGTGGCGCCCTGCTTGCTGCTGATTTTCAGAATAGTGGGCGCCGCGGAGCCCGATTCAGGTAAAAAGAAAAACTTCACCTTCTTTCAGTATTTTTATCATAACTTTTTCTCTTGATATTAGATTGAGATGATTCAAGAAGTGTTGTAAAGATAACGTAAAGGACTACAGCTTTGCTTCAAACATCACCCTCCAATTCGATTCTTTACTATGTCAAAAGTGAGTCTCAATCTGAGACTAAAAATTTGGAGCAAAACTTTTTCGGTTGGAATTTGATATGTGATCACACTTTGGTTATATTTGATCCTTTGACATCTTTATTCATCCAATTGACCATTAAAACTCTCAAATCTTCATCATGAGGTTTGGTACAACTTTTGAATATTTGCACTTTAGTCCCCGAACTTTGGAACTCTTACAATTTAGCCATTTTCTCTAAATTTGTCAACTTTTACTTATTTTCTTCAATTTCATCAACCTACATCAAAATTTCAAAACACATATAAAAACAATTTAAAATTCTCTCAAGGGTAACAAAATTACGAATTAAGTGGTATAAATATCGTGAGTGTAGAGCACCCATCAAATACCCCCAAACTTAATATTTTGATTGTCCTCGAACAAACACCAAACTAAAAGAAATTACTAACAAACACACAAACAAATACATACGAACAAAATCACTTAAAATAAATTGTTCTAGATATCTTGCCTTCATAACTCAGGATTGAAAACATAACATCAA